TTCTGGAGGCAAGTTGTTGCACTGATTAATTGTTCTAACCGAACAATTGTTCTAACTTAGAACAACATAATAAAAAGCTGCACTGATCTTAATGTGGAGAAGGCCTTTGACAATCAGAATTGGATTTTCTTGTTTAACATTTTGAAAGATATGGACTTCAGACAGAATTGTATTATTTAAGTGAAATCAATCTACGCTAAAAACACAAATTGCTAATGGAGAATTAACAAAACTGTGAGATAGAAAAAGGGATAAGGATGCCCTTTGTCTCTGCAACTAAAGACATTTCTTGAGGATTTTATGATAATTTTGGAAGAATTTTTGGAAGGAATTCAAATACAAATACTAATGGAAAAATCAAAGGAATGTAATATTTAAGATTAATAATCAAAAGATGAAGATGTTAAAAATATGAAAATGGAAGATCAACTAGAATCAATGAGAAAAATTAGTTTTAATATTGAGAACAAAGAAAAATGGGCTATATTGCACTTGTTGTTGGGAGAGAACTTCTGTGACAATAATGTTTTGCCTAGAATGTTTTGTTTTAAACAATACTATTTTGAAAACCGGTATACCATTTAAGTAATCACAGAAATATATGCAGTATCTAGGGGTGCATGGCAAAGGAAAAAAAAACAGGTGAAATGTAAAATTTTCCAAGATGGACAGGTAAGGAAACAGGAGGATTGGGTCTACACAGTTTACAACTGTACTTTGCAGCCTGCTGTTTGGTCTGAATGAAAATAAGAAATTGAAAGGAGTTACGTTATATTCTGAAAGAGAACTGATAAAATGATGCAATGCTATGGTTGATGAAGATGGCTGCATTGATGTGTTTCATTAGATGAATGACAAAATATATGATGACTGTGCAAAGAATTAGAATAAAAAAAATAGCTGTGGCATCTAATTACAAAACATCTTCCTGACACTCTGATTGGAGAATAGCAAACCCTTACCAAGAGCGATCACGTTCTTATAATTTTCCATCATGACTTCCCAATACAGTGCTTTTTGGTCAGGATCAAGCTCACACCATTCCTCCTCGGAGAAACACACAGCCACCTCCTCGAAGGAGACAAGGCCCTCCTGACAGGGAAAAGAGTACACAAAAGGTCCAGGAGGAATTGTAAAAGAACGGTCCTATTGTTTATAAATCCCCAAAGCAAAGCCATGCACTAAAATAAATGGCTGTGCTTGGTAGGATGGTTTAGGTGAGAAAATGGACAAAGCAAAAAATTTTGATTGAAGAAATATTTCAGGCAAGTTTCATCAACTTGATTGATACTGCAGGACTTTCAGTGCTATTCAGTGAAAAGTAACTCCACTGGATGAATTGATCTACCTTTCTCTATCTGTCCATCTATTCATCAATCAAAAGACTCTCAGTGTCTGGAAAGAATCAACTGGCAGGTGGGCTTTGGAAACCTCACCCGTCAATGACTCCAATTCTCCCTGTGTTTGAAGAAGGAGTCACAGTGGCACAGTGGTTAGAACGCAGTACTGCAAACTACTTCTGTTCACTGCCAGCTTCCTGCAATTTGGCAGTTCAAATCTCACCAGGCTCAAAGTTGACTTAGCCTTTCATCCTTCCAAGGTGGGTAATAAAATGAGGTTCCAGAATGTTCCAGATTCCAGGCAATAGGCTGACTCTGTAAACCACTTAGAGAGGGCTGTAAAACACTGTGAAGCGATATATAAATCTAAATGCTATTGCTAAGTGCTATATTCTAAGTGCTATATTCTATAATCCTTAACTTCTAACCTGATCTGCTTAATTGGTTCATACAATAATTATTGGTTGCAAAAAAGCTTTTTAAACTGGCAACGTTCCTGTATGAGTAGTTAATGTCGACATTCTTGCACAATTCCTAATCAAAGAATTACAAACAATTAGTCCCTTGAGGATTTTATAAAGAAATTAGTTACTGAAAACTAGAAAGAATAATTATCACCAAGAGATTCAATACTGGTCTTTAACAAAAAAAGTTTCCTAATCTTGAATCTTCTATATTGCTTAGGACCACAAAAACCCCCCCCCCCCCCCCCCAAAAAAAAAGAGAGACTAAAATGTAAGGAAACAATTCTATGAATACCAATTTGACTTCATGAAAGAAAGACAGAATAAAAATCCAATAATTTCCTCTTCTTACCTGAGTTGGAGGTTCAATCACTGATTCAGATCCACCATAAGGAAGAGTCAACTTCTTTCTATCCTTTCCTATGAGAGAGACAGAATTTTAAAAGTGCATAATTAAAAAAGTAGGAAGAGGTGTTCTATAGAAGAGAAGACAATGAGAAGATGAGAAAGCTAGGAGTGGAAGGACCTCTGTTTTACCTCCTGAGGTGTCCTGATTTAGAACTTCCTGACAGATCCTCCTGAAAAACAGTTCTTGAGGGAGATTTGATGGATGCCTCTTTACCTCAGGATCTCTGATCTTCACTGCAAAGGACTTGAAATAATAGGCAGGGGGGGGAGGAATTAACAAACATCACACATCATGAAGAGGATTCTTGTTCTATGGTCACCAATTCAAAGCCCCCAATGTCCATCAGTGAGGCTGGAAAGAAGAAACGGCTGTCCCATATCTTTCTTGGTGAATGGAGAATGAAATAATGTCCCAAATAATTAATGAAATCTCTCCACATATTATGCCTGCTATAGAATGCTGGTAGGGAAGGATTAAGAATTCAAATACATTATCTATTTACTAAGTTTATATACCGCCCCTCTCATCGATAAAGCGACATGACATTTAAATCTCTTCTAATCTCCTATGATGATGGTCTCTTACCTGCAGCTCAATCTGCACCTTCTTCTCCTCCGCCTGGCTCAGGAGGAAGCCTTCCACCAGGGCCACCGCCTGGGAGCTGGTCTCTGCTCCACACTCCCGCACCCAGCTCTCCATCTGCAGGGGCAGAAGCGCCAGGAACTGCTCCAAAACAACCAGGTCCAGCATCTGCGCTTTTGT